TTGTTTAATACATCCTAAGATACATACGTTTTCACACTTAGATATCAGTAGACTCACAAATGTCACTGGGAGAGTATAAAATCCTTCCATGATACTTGATTTAGCATGAATTACTAGGAAAATTTGTGTTAGAAATTAGAAGAAAAAAGATGTCTATGACTAATGTGCTCACTAGAATCTTGTTCGCTGGGTATTCCAAATTGCTCGAGAGAGAGTCAAAGCCCAAATAAAGGATAAAGGGTGAATTAAAAGCACAGGATTTGTGTGTCACATATTGAGACACACATGGAGTCATAGCAGGAATGCTTTGAACTAAATCATGACGTGCAATTACCAGGAAACCCCAAAGAGGCCAGTATATCTGAAAAGGAGTAGGTGAGAGCGAAAAATAGATGTCAAAGGCATGTGTTAAATAATCTCTTTGGGGAGAGTTATATATCTTTGTGATGTTTTGAGCTTCTCTTTGTATTGGATCAAGATACTTCAGAGTTTGTGTCTAAGAAGCAGAAATCATAGAAACACGGAAGTAGCAGCTGAGATTTACTTGCAGGCTATTAAGCCAGACTATTCCAGTGGAGGTCAAGATAACAGCAAGGCAGACAACAAATTCTGTAAATACTATGAACTGGATGAAGGTTTGGCAATAGTTTGGCATCGGATATATAAGATCCCTAAAGGCCTGAGCCTGTGTAAGGATAATGCCCCTAAACTGGAATGAGTAAAACTTCAGGACAATGTAGTTGGATATAATTTCATTTTCTGATATAATGTTTATATAGGGTCAGGGTACTTTTAAAGTGTTCATAAAACAAGACAAGGAGAAGAGATTGAGTTATTTAAGAAATGAGGATGGCTAGTCATGCACTGATACCCTAACAGTGGTCAGGGGAGTGGAGGAGGAGGAAAGGCTGAACCACAGGCAAGGCAGTTGTGTGGGGAAGCGCTGAGCATAGAAGGATGGGGTTTCAGTGCTAAAGCCAGGGCTCTGACATGGTTTTGTGTCCCTTCTCAGGTGTACCTCCTGGAATTTTTTTTTTCACATGGATAGCATGTACAGGGCTTTCTGCTGCAATCATCTGACTCTCCCCTCCTGCAATCATCTGACTCTCTCCTCCCTATGGAGACTACATTCTATTTGAGAATAGACTTGGCGGTCCTTTAAACATCCCCGACACTTTTAAGAAAGTGATAAGCTTTCCCCCCCCCCAAGAATTTCAATATTTTCAAAGCTGAAGAGATGACTCAGAGATTAGGAACACTGGTTGGTCTTGCAGAGAGAAGACCCAAGTTTGGTTCCTAGCACCACACAGCAGCTCACAACCACCTGGGACTCCTGTTTGTGGACCCTTCCCCCTCTTTTTTTCCCCATGACTAACAAAAATGCATATGGTGCACATGCATAGGTGAAGACAAAACATGCATACGCATACAATTTAAAAGAAAGCATTTCAGTATTTTAAAATTCCCCAAGAAATGTTACATCTCAACTGAGATTTCAGTAATCGCCAAACTGGTTCATCATCTGGTCTCAACTTCCCAGGACCTGGCATAGCAGCAGCACACTTGCTTTTCTTGGTTTACCATTTTGTCTCCCCACCCTCCACTGCTCAAAATCTTCAAGTGATTCGAAATGCTGCTGAGATGATAGTCACCTTACCTTACATCAAATACCTTCCAACTGGAGCCAACTTCAAATTGTACTGCCTAATGTTCTCCTATAAAAGATACCTCCAGCGCTGGACTCTAGCCGACTCTTGGAGGCACTGCCTGGCACTTCTCTTCCCATTATCTCTGCCTGCTTTGAAGTTCAATTTCCAGATTAATCTTCCTAAAAATCAAGTCCAATCAAGTCATTTCTCTGCTCTCAACCAGATTTTTACACTCTATTGCCTGGTGATGTAATTACAAATTTCCTCCCAGGGTAGCTCCATCCCACACACTCAGTAGTCCTGACTCATTGTGCTTAATCTACATAGCTCAGAGAGCAATAGACTGCAATTAGAGATGCCTCCTTGTGTCTTCATTGGTGTTTAAGGAGTAGAGCAGATCCAGTGAGGTCTAATCACTCGTTTCTAATGTCAGTATGCAAGCAGCCAACATATCTACGGTACTTTTATATTTAACTATTTACCTCATCTTCCTTACTTGATTTTAAATTTTATAGAAACGGGACAATAACTTCACTCAATTCTTTAACCTCTAACATACTGTCTGAAACTCCACATTTAGTGGAGAGTAAGTAAATAAACATGACTGTAAACCATATGTACTTATACGGAAGAAATAGGAACTGCTATTAATATATTGCCTAATTCATCATTGTACAAATTACATAAGACAATGCCTAGCATGGGTTAAGGAAGCCTTCTCTGAGTTTGTAAATGCAGGAAGAGCATATCAAAGTGAATTTGTAATCATTGTTAGAAGTTCACAATTCTGGGCTCAATGTTTATCTGCATTTCTTATCTGTTTAATAATTAGTCTTACTATGTAGCACTGATAATGTTTTCATAACTTCTCTCCTACAAAAGGCTCCTCTCCTATAAAATTGCAATAATAATGGCTGTTTTATACGATGGTCATGATGATAAGAGCATGGAATGATACATTCTTTTTGAAGCACCAACTATTGCTTATGTCAGGTTCCTTCTTTCCAGGTGAACAGGCCCCATTCTTCAAAAGAGACCTGGAATCTATAATTAAAGCTGCCTGACAGATTGGACTGGGCACTCATGCTTAGAATCCATTCCATGCTCAGGAGCTATCTATCTAGGGGAACAGCTACACTCAGCCATCATGAGCCTCTTGGTCTTTCTTAGGCTTAGGGAAAGGGAAGATTGGTGACTATTAGCCAAAGGAAGCTTTTCTATGATCTAGGGATCTGTCTTGGGTAATCAATAAAATTCAGGAGTGATATCCCTCCTAAAGTGCCGCCTGCCACTGTTATGTTTATTTGAACCATCTAAAGCAGCTTTACCAATGCCATCCCTCTGAAGGTAGCTGAGAGTCTGGAATGCCAGCCTAACCAAGACTAAAGGGAGGAAGGGACCCTAGTTATAGAGATTAAAAGGGCGCAAAGGCTAGAGAAAACTCAAGAACTGAAATAATTATTTTTGCCATCATTAAGTATACGGTCTCAGAAGTATTTCTCGTTTGTGAAGTGGAAGGGGGACTGATTTGAAAAAGGGAAGCAGTGAGGGACATCAGGGTAAGAACAATCATTTTCAGCAAGTAGGATAGGTTCGTTTTTGCCTGAACTCCTCCTTTTTTCCCTCTTCATTCCATGATAATTTCAGGTTTTTCTTTCTCAGATATCTCTTTGTTCTGTGGCCTCCTCTGAACAAATCTTCTGCCATCAATACTTTAAATATATATATATTGCTAAACATTCTAACCTTGAGGTAATTTTGAAAGGAAGGAAAGGAGTCAGGCCTAATCAATGAGAAGTGGGAGAAGTCAGCGCGTTTTAAGGAAATGCAGTTTTATTGCTTATAAGGAGGTACTGGAATTATTGAAAGCAGTAATGAGCTACAATGCCCTAGATGTGCTTCCTCCATAAGCACAAATGAGTAAATTTACACTTGGAAGTAAAATATGAGCTTTTGGTTGTTTCTCTTCTCCTCCGTCTTTCTTCTTTGTCTTCATTTTTTTTTTCCTCTGCTGAAGGCCTTCTGTCATCAAGTAACTAACATTTACCTCTTTACAAATTGCTTAGCAAACATTTTTCACTTGAACATTAAGCATATTGAGATATGAACTCAAATCTCATTTGTTTAAAAGTCGGCGCTAATGAGGTCAGGACCACACACTAAATCTCTGTATCAGCCAGTCCTGTCCTCTTCCCTCTTGTGTGACTAGAAACGTGTGAATGATGAGCTCTGCTTACAGGCAGCTTGGAGGGAGGGAGTGTGGACCAACCTGCTCGGTGTGCATCCACATCCGGAAAACGGCTGCCTTCGTCCTCTGCTGTGTGTCTTTGGTCAGTAGCTTCAGCTTCCTTTGTGAGAATGGGAGACCTCCGAATTGGAGTCGCATCATTGGTATTTTAATAGTTTGCTTGATATTTCAACTTCTTGCTGTATACTCATGTGACTAGAACCCAGAAGGCAGTTTTCTCTTTCGAGGGGCATATCTTTTCATTGTGTGTATTTGTACTTTATGTGATAATGCTGTTAATACCGTCTAAGCTGTGAGATTTGTCTGAGAATTGACTCTGAACTCTTGGAAGGGAGCATAATGATCCATTTCACGATGAGTGTTTTATTTTTCTCCCAAACTCTTCATTTCAACACAGAGAGAGCTTTTTTTTTCCTCGATTAAAATGTATTTCTTAATTAAATTAAGATGTAAAATAGACTCTAAATTTGTGATTCTAACAAATTTGGGGGAGGCTTCAATTCAACCTGTTATTAATATTTCATTCAGCAACTTCATTTTATTGTTTAATGAGAGCTGCCATGTTCCATTTTTAATATGACTAAAATTGCAATGTAAGCTTAATTATGTGCTCTGAGTATAGGCATCCTTAGTTATTTGCTCGGAGTACCATCATTCTTAGTTATGTGCTCTGAGTATAAGCATCCTTAGTTATGTGCTCTGAGTACCGTCATCCTTCTCCAGGAAGCTAAGTACAACAGTGGTTTCCAACAGACATTAAGTTCTAAAGCTTCAGAGTCTCCTAAAATTCAGTTATGAAAATCAACTATTTTTCTCAATGAAATAGTTCATATATTTTGTATAAAATTATGCTAACCTTTAAATCAGAATACCATATTTTATGATAGAATGTAGATTAAAGATACTTAATTCAAACTTTAACGTATATTAGAATTACAAATTAATTGTTTAGGTACTTGCTTTGTTTTTGACTGTCTTTTTCCTTGGGGAGGGTATTTGCTTTTTGTGGAGTAATTTTGTTTTTCTATTATTTATCATTTTGATTATACTAAGCATAAAGTATGATTTCATAATCTTATCCCCCTTTCTTTTGTTATTTTTAGTGATCTCAGTGAAAATCAAATTCAAGCAATTCCAAGGAAGGCTTTTCGTGGGGCAGTCGACATTAAAAATCTGTGAGTATATAAGCACATCTTAATTTACAGTTCTTTATAAATTATAATCTGTTTTGGATCAGGTTTACATTTTTAATTATCAGAAAAATTAAATACTGATGTAATTTTCTTGTTATTTTTAAGATCTTCCAAAACCAACATAGTTTTTTCCTGTTTGTACAGATGTTTGGCAACTCAAGTCATTATAAAATTTATTTTTAAACATTATGATTAGTGTTTTATAATTTTCAAGGAAGGAAATGGTATTATGATGTGTTTTTATCACTTCCAGAGTCCTCCCTTGTTCACTTTGCAGTTTCTGTCAGGGTATGCTAAACTTCAACTTATAAACACTTTTATTTTCTTTTGGTAATAGTAATATTTCCAGCTGAAGATACAGATGACTCAGAACCACAGCTCTTTCTAGAGATTGGATGTTAAAGGTGTAAAAATGATAAATTCATGCTTTTCTTTAAGTGAATTTTTCTCACATCTCTTCCCTCCTATCTTTGAAGTACTATGTGAATAGCCACCCTTAATCAGAAGAAAAAAGAAAAGAAAAAAACATATTTCTTTATTTTCCTTGATAAATCTTTAATCTAGTTTCTTTCTCGGTGTTTAAGTGCCTATCGCTCTCAAGCTACCTGTGAGACAGAAGCTTTCAGTGGCAAACCTAATATTGTCAATATATGTCTTTATAAATTTCAAAATGCCATGTTGGTCTTTTTAAATGACTTCACATGTTGAGGGTTAAAATGTTTTCCAGAGCTATTGCAATACCTTGGAATGTAGGGGTGAAGAGCCCTTGGGTGCCAAGATTAACTCTTACAATCCAATATTTCTTAGCTAGTCATAAACAGGGCAGGCAATTTTTCAAGAATTAACTCATATTCAGAATTCTCCATGGGAGAATTCAGTTCCATTTTTCTTTAGTAGTGAAAGTGAGACAGATGTTGTCCTTTGTCAAAGAAGACAAGTGTTGATAAAGCCACAGAATTTGGCCTTTACATTTCCCCAGTAGAAATGCGTTTTTCTTTATCATGTATCTGTGCTTTCTGAGTGCCCAAGTAATAACAGAGAAGTACAGCTTTATGGTTATAAATAGACCAAGCCATTAACATCGTGACGGTGGTGATTTTTTATGTGCACTCAGACAAAAAATATTTTTCCTGCTTTCTTTCTCTCTTTACTAGCTGGGACTTTGAGAATGTTTAAGTCGGCTCACCAACAAAAAGGGGGATCCAATCTGTCTCAGTGCATTATGTGTGGATATGTTATTACTTAAGAATTCATAGATGTACGCTCAAGTTGCAGTGGCCACAACTGGCCACCCTGCAGTATGTTACTTGTAACCTCACAGTGGGGCTGCCATTAAGCACTTTGTACAAGTGCATTTAACTATTCTTCAGGTATTCAAAGAATTCAAGTCACCAACTGCATGTTCCTATGTGGGAGTCTACATTTAGGACTACTGACCCATCCCAGGGGATTTTTTTTTAAAACATGTTTTCTTCATTTAACTGAAAAGCAAGTGCAGAGATTAAGTGAAAAGTGAGAGAGTAAGATGGCTGCCTTGTGAAATGGGTGTTTTAAATATTTCCCACATACACCACTGAATTTTCTCAAGTTCAAAGACTTACATATACTGTACCATGAAGTTAGGATTACAGACTGAGACACTTTTCCTGTAATTTGGGTTCTTGCACATAAACAATCATCCAGCTACTCTTGTCCTTTAGTACTTAATTTCACAAACTGACTACTGATTACTTGGGTTTGTTGTGGCTATTAGGCAAATGAGGTACAAAAGAACTTTAAACCACTAAAATGCTGGGAAACTGTAGTGTTATGTTTCATTATACAATTATCCAGTGAGTACTTCATAAAGTTATCCACGAATAAACTGCTCACAGAGGAGATAGACTAGTAGAATATAAGATATATTTCAGTATTAAAATTTAATTAAAAGATCATTTAAATATGCATATGATTCCTGTGAGTCAGACACAGAACTTCAAAATGAATAAAAGCGTTTATGCAAACATTAAATGAACATACAACAAAAACAAGATTTATAAATTAGAGACCACATGCTATAGGGATTCAGGGAGGAACAACTTCATAGTATTACGAAAAAAAAATGTTAGAATTAAAGAAAATGGAGGAAAATCTAAGCTATTATCTTATGTGTGGGTGAACACTACATAGGAGCAAACTGAGGGAGAACATGATACCAAAATCAAAATGCAAAAGAGTTTCGGTTTGGTTGTTTTTGTGTGTGTAAGAAATGGAATGTGACTTTTTTTAAGTGAAGCAGTGATGAGACATCAGGGGTCAACATGTGAGAGGTGCAGGCTGACAGCTTCCTTACAGAGTCAGCTTTGGACGTGTATGTTTCTGTGGAAGAAAGGACGCGTAAGGGGCAGTGTAGACCTCAATAGTAACAATAAAATAAGAAGAGGAAAACAAATCCTATTCTCATCATCTTCCATGAACTAATGCAAAAGGAAACAATGTTTATTCAGCTTAAATAGCTAAAAGAGACTTCAGGATTCAAAAATATTTCAAGCCATATTTTCAAAAATCATTCTGATTTCATGGGTCAGGGTATAATGTTTAGGAGTTTTTTTTCTTTCAACCAAAGGCAGCATATCTTCTAATTTCTAAGTAGAAAATTTAATTTGCCGTATTATTGAACTGCTAGTCCCAGCCATCTATGAATCAGCATCAGACCGCTGATGGCGACTTTAGTACTCCTTGGGACAGAGGAGGTATTTTGTCATCTTTACTGTGCCTGTGTGTTTCCTCCTAAGTTGGTTGTCTTTCATGCTGTCCCAATCAGAGCTGCACAATTATTCACAGGTTAAAAGAGGAAAGAAAATAAAGGTAGAGCAGCAGGCATCAGTGTGGAGCAGAGCAAAGACCCTGCTTCCTGGAGAACTATTGGCCATCCTCTGCTACCCTAGTCTAGCAAGTTTTCCAGATCTGCCACTGCTGAGCCTGAAGTGAGGCAGTTCCCATTCCTACAGGATTTCGGTGACAGCACTTGGTTTACCCTTGAGGTCTGGCTAAGCACGCTCTAAGCGGCATCCTGACAATATAAAATTGATGCTGGCAAAATGTTGCAAATGACTACATTTTATTTCCCTTCCTCCAGGAAAGCCCCACTTAAACTATTTCTGACAGATGAACATTCATCTTGGTCTTAAGCATCTCGGGGGAGAACTAACAGTAACTTTTTTTTGGCTATCTCTCTTTATTTCATAGCTGGATTAAAATACTTTTCGTATTTTGCTGTGTAGCCTCTTTCTACCCTGCACCACGCGCCCCCGATGCCAGCCACAGTTCCTATCAATTTCTTTTTACTTGACATTTTAGACACTCAAATATTATGAAAACAAAATTGTAATACAATATCAACAGAATAATTGCCGTTCCAACAGCTTCCAGCAGCAGTGTTTGTGGAATCTCCATTTGTGTTATTAAAGTTACAAACTGTGAACTATTGATGGCCTGCTTTCACCAAAGGATGATTCTTCAAAAAACTAACTAATGCTTACAGAAGTTTTTATTAAAGTCTTTGTATGTGTAATTAGTAGATTAATGCTGAAGTGGTGAAGCTCTGTGCCCCTTAATCAGATTGTAAAAGAAAATCTTGCATTGTATTTTTTTTTCAAGCACCTGGTTAGATATTTCCATGTACGCTTATCCTCTTAGAGAATATTCCAGTCTAATCTGGCCTGAATTATGAAACTTGTTTGCTTCCTTTTACTTCGTGTTCTTTGTCTTCAGGTGTATCTTAAGCATCTTTTATTTTATATGGAAAAAGCTATCCCCAATTCTATTTGCTCTGGAACGTAAGTAAAAAAAAGTATCAAAAGAAAAGCTTAGGATCAAAGCAAGTTGCAGTCAGTCACATCACAAAGCTCATGTTAGTAGTTTTACTTTACGACTATGGGGATAAATACTGAACGTAACTGAATGATTGCAAGGACTATTTTACGTCTGCGTAAAGGGAACTAAACACCTTCTTCTTCCTTCTTTGCTTCTGCTATTTATCTTCAAGATATAATCTATGATTTTCGCCCTACACACTTCCCTGTCTATATTCTCTTCCTGTTAGCTTGTGCCTTTCCAGTCCCAATTACCCTACGGGTATGAATTTTACTCTCTTGTTCTAAGAAAAAATAATCCTTGTTGACAAAATAACAGCTTTCCTTGCATGAAAATAAACTATGCTTTTTATGGGCACTGAAGAAAACATTAAATAACTTTATGTGCATTAATCTATAGACAGGTGTATAATTTACAGAATGAGGCAGCATGGTTTTCTTAAAGCAATTCAAGGTATTATTTAGATAATAAATATGCATGACCATGACATTTTCGGGGAAAACAGTCCAATTTGTGACGCATGGTTTATTGACAATAAGAGAATTTGACAAATACAAAAGAGAATTAGTCTGTTGTTACAAATCCATATGCATTATTCATGAATTGTGTTGTTTACTGTATTGCCACCACATTTCTTTTTTAATGTGCCATTTTGTTTTCCTTCATTTTATTTTTTTCCAATCAATCCACTTCCTCACGTAAAATGTGGTTGTGGTCAACTTTACGTGAGGCACATAGAGAGCCCAACACACTTCATGGATTGTACCTTTATCTAGTTTAAACTTCTTTCCTGGTGTCTCTTCACCATTATTCATATAATCAGGCTGATGCATGATCAAGAGTTTGCCATATAGTATAGAACAAATAGATAACCTCCAAAAGGAAGAATGTGTAAGTTCCCCTTAAATGCAAGAGATTCCATATATCCTCTCTGGTCAGTTACCAAGTTTTATTTATTTCTAATTTTTCTTAAAACTAAAATCCTTTAGCCATCAAATTAAAGTTATCTGTTCATATCCAGTTCTCCCCTAGTGGATTTAATTAGATCCAAGACTAGAAATTCTTTGAAAAAGAAACAGATTTTTTTATTCATGGACATGGATTTCAATAGATCGTAGAACCTTCTG